ATACATATGTATATATACATACAAATATGAATATATACATATACACATAGGTATAATCATTCATATATACATATAGATGCATATATACATATTCATATATACAGATACATATGAATATGAATATCTGAATATATACATATACATACATACACACATATATATAATCATATTCATATATACATATAGATGCATATATACACTACCTATCAACGCCCTATAAAATCTAGAAGAAACATTCATTTGGATGTGCTAAAATGTATAATCTTATCTCATTTCTGCAAAGTATTTTATTTCCTCTAAGGAAAATCAATCAGCACTCTAAAACAAAACACTCATCTTCTTTTTGTTTGAGTGTGTGTATGTGTCTGAAAGAAAGAGAACATATAATAAAAATGTTTGGCAATTGCTATGGTATAGACACTGACAACCAGAACAGATAGTAGCTACACCATTGTTTCAGCCATATTGGAGCTGAATGTCAGCCTTTCCCATGTGTTTTCAAGATTGCACAATGTGCAATGATAGCAAGTTTGTATTTTATTTTGGATCTATCAAGAAACTCCAGATCTTGATAGTGCACTAGATAGAGGCCATCACTTCTGTATTAAAATCAATCATCTGTGAGGGTCTCATGCTTTGGGTGTTTCTGGGCAGTTCAGATTCTGATTCTAGCTCTGTTAGTCACTGGATTACTCTGAAATTGTAGCATTTCATTACATAACCTCTATTTCACAGACATCCTTTTACACTCAACAGTGGTATAGAAACCTTTGTCAGCATTCAGATTTGTGGCTCAGGAGAAGGAATCCCATAGGATACATAACTTTTAGCTTTTATCTATCTGAACATGTACATGTGTGTTTCTCTTTTTTTTAAGAGAAAGTTACTAATGCATATGCAATAATAAAATTTATTTAAAAACTTATTCAAGAAATCCAGAAATACAAATTTGAAATTCAGCAACTAAAAGATGCTACTGAAAGGGAGAAAACTGAAGTTCCAGGAAATATTTCTAAACTTGAAAACTGCTTTGGAGAAATACCACGCAGGTATTGAAAAGGCCGCAGAGGACTCTTATGCTAAGATAGATGAGAAGACAGCTGAACTGAAGAGGAAGATGTTCAAAATGTACAGACAGCACCTCTTTAAAAACTTAAAATAGTAAAGACGTGGTTTCAAGTATCAAAAACTGCTCTTTGGACCTCTGTTGGTTTTGAACCATTCTACATGACCTGAATAGCTCCACTGCGCCACTAATTTCTGAGGCCACTCTTGGTTGGCAGGTTGGAGAACAAATAAAATGATAAATGCAAGGAGTTAAAGAGAACGTTCCTCTTTGACCTTCAGATTCTCATTATTTACTCCCAGGTTGAAAGAACATGAAAGTTATTGCAAAAGCATTTCAAACATCATCATGATAGAGGGAATCAAACAATTTAATTAAGAGTGAAACATCGGCCAGGTGTGGTACCTCACACCTGTAATCCCAGCACTTTGGGATGCCAAGGCAGGTGGATCACGAGGTCAGGAGTTCAAGACTAGCCTGGCCAAGATAGTGAAAACCCGTCTCTACTAAAAATACAAAAACTAGCTGGGTGTGGTGGCAGGTGCCTGTGATCCCAGCTACTCAGGAGGCTGAGGCAGAGAATTGCTTGAACTTGGGAGGAGGAGGTTGCAGTGAGCTGAGATCATGCCACTACACTCCAGCCGGACTGACAAAGCAAGACTCTGTCAAGAAAAAAAAAAAAAAAGGTGAAACATCGATATAAAAGGCTGATGATTCATTCTTGAGGTGCTGATAATTCATATTGGTATGGAAAGAATGCAGGTAGGTAGGACATTTTCAATTCAAAATATTTTGAAAGTTATTTTAAAATTGTTTCATTTATGTGTTGAAATCTTGCAGTCTTTAATCACTTGTTCTATCAGCAACTAACTTGTACATTCCCTAAATGTTAAGATAAATTATAAATTAAATTAGGAGGCAGTCAATAGCACTAATTCATTCACTAAGCATTTCCATACACATACAGTGGGATGAACACTGTAGCACAGTAAAAGTGCACTAAATCTATAACATTCTTTAATTTCCACACTGAAAGAAGAAAATGTACTAAATATAGTTTCTATTGGGTATGAGGAAACAGAATTTGGGCATGATAGCATTGATACATAGAAAAAATAGAAGTTAAAATTTGAGGAAATTAAAGTAGAGGGGAGGTAAATGAGCATGTGAAAATATTCAGTGAAGTAATAATCTAGCACAGTTGGAAGTCACCCATGCTAGGCTGTCAGCTCCAAGAGAGCAAGGGAAATGCCAGTTTTATTCTCAGCTGCCTGATACATAGAAAGTATTCAAAAACCTTTTGCTCAATGATTGAATGAGATGGAGCAGACTGTAATATGTAAGGGCATCATTATTTAAGTGGGAAGTGTAAAATGAAGTTTAAAAATGAAGTTAGGGCTATATTGTACAGAGTCCTGAATGCCAGACTAAGCAATGTAGCCATCTACTTATATGCAAATGATGGGAGTGGATATGTGAGAATTGCATCCAGTAATAGCTAATAGCTCTTATTAAGACAAAGTCAGATAAAACAGCTATCAACTCTGGAAAAACTATAAAAAGCAACTACTCAAATGCACTGGGCAGTGAATAGTAGAAGCAGAACCTGGATAAGATTTGACACTTAAAAAAGGGAATAGTTTTCTATGAATATTCCATTTTCAGAGATTATTTTATAGAAGACAAGTCCCACTGCACATCACATTGAGTATGTAAGACGCCTACAATTTCACTAGTCTGAAGAACGAGAGAATTGAGCTTAGGGCAACTACAGCCAACAGAAAGTGGGGAAGAAAGCCTGGAAAGGATAAAGCAGGAGACAGGAATCCTCAATTCCATGAATCAACTCTGCCCCAATATCTGAATGAATCCTGAATTATGCCTGTACCAAGTGAATTCCAAGCAGCATAGCTAAAGTTAAGGAACAAGTCAGAACAGGCCATCAACCGCAAGGCAGACAGGTTTGTAGTTTGAATTCTGCCAAGTTAACAACCAGCTTTAAAAATACGCAAAATCGCATTACTGGGTATATATCCAAAGGATTATAAATCATTCTGCTATAAGGACACATGCACACGAATGTTCACTGCAGCACTGTTTACAATAGCAAAGACCTGGAACCAACCCAAATGCCCATCGATGATAGACTGGATAGGGAAAATGTGGTACATATACACCATGGAATATTACGCAGCCATCAAAAATGATGAGTTTGTGTCCTTTGTAGGGACATGGATGAACCTGGAAACCATCATTCTCAGCAAACTGACACAATAGCAGAAAATCAAACATCGCATGTTCTCACTCATAGGCGGGTGTCGAACAATGAGAACACATGGACACAGGGAGGGGAGCACTACACACTGGGGTTCGTTGGGGGGAAACAAATAGGGGAGGAATGGGGGTGGCGAGGTGGGAAGAGATAGCATGAGGAGAAATGACAGATACAGGTGAGGGGAAGGAAGGCAGCAAACAATACTGCCATGTGTGTACCTATGCAACAATCTTGCATGTCCTTCACATGTACCCCAAAACCTAAAATGCAAAAAAAAAAAAAAATAGAATTGGCCGGGCGCAGTGGCTCACGCCTGTAATCCCAGCACTTTGGGAGGCCGAGGCGGGTAGATCACACAGTCAAGAGATCGAGGCCGGGCGCGGTGGCTCAAGCCTGTAATCCCAACACTTTGGGAGGCCGAGGCGGGTGGATCACGAGGTCAAGAGATCGAGACCATCCTGGTCAACACGGTGAAACCCCGTCTCTACTAAAAATACAAAAAATTAGCTGGGCATGGTGGCACTTGCCTATAATCCCAGCTACTCAGGAGGCTGAGGCAGGAGAATTGCCTGAACTCAGGAGGCAGAGGTTGCCGTGAGCCAAGATCGCGCCATTGCACTCCAGCCTGGGTAACAAGAGCGAAACTCCGTCTCAAAAAAAAAAAAAAAGAGATCGAGACCATCCTGGTCAACATGGGGAAACCCCATCTCTACTAAAAATACAAAAAATTAGCTGGGCATGGCGGCACGTGCCTTTAATCCCAGCTACTCAGGAGGCTGAGGCAGGAGAATTGCCTGAACCCAGGAGGCGGAGGTTGCGGTGAGCCGAGATCATGCCATTGCACTCCAGCCTGGGTAACAAGAGTGAAACTCCGTCTCCAAAAAAAAAAAAAAAAAAAAAAAAACAAAATTCAGAATCCAGAATTTCTACAACATATTATTTAACAATTCAGAATAAGATCTGAAGTTATTTTACACAAATGACATAGGCCTATAATACATATTTTAAATAGAAAAGATAATGATTTCCAATTCCCAGATTCCCAGGTGACCTAGATGTTGGAATTAGCAGACAAAAATTCTAAGGCAGTTTTCATATCTGTGCTGAATAAAGTTAAAGAAAATACACCTATAATAAGCTAAAAGATAGTGAATGTCAGCAGATAAATCCTAGAAATAAAAAGTAAATATCTGAAATATATAAATAACATTACTAGAGCAGAATGGATTTAATAGAAAAATGGAGATGACAGAAGAATTCAGTGAATGTGAAAATAAATCAGTGAGAGGTACTCAATCTAAAGATACAGCTAATATAGAAAACAAATTATCAGAGCTTCAGAAATTGAAAGAAAGTAGGAACCCATCTCCTATACCCAGGAGCATACTGGGCACCCTTCCCAACATCCTACCCCAAATCCCCTGTCCCAACACAAAAATAATGGAGAATCTTGAGTGCCTTCAAGGGAGATTCCAGGCACCTAGCAAGCCTTGAGAAGTAAATGAGCAACCTGATAAGCAAGAAAGTAATAATAGCTTAAGACAATAGCCACGGAAGTTAGAGCCATGAGATATTTGGTTCTTGATAGAAACTAAAAATAACATCTTGACACATGTCTCATCGTAACATATGCCCCTGTTTTTTGGTTTTTTTTTTCAGATGCAGGAGTGATAAGGGGGAACTGAGGACTAAATTGTTCAAATGGTCTTCCTAAGGGGCCTGGAAGAAGTCACATCTACAAGCCAGAACTTACATATCTTTCTGCTGACCCAAAATTTTTAAAGAAAACTTTTCTTCCCTAACCAACTGCAAATCAGAAAATATTAGAATCTACTTACAACCTGTAAGCCTCCGCTTCAAGATACCCCATCTTTTTAAACCAAAGCAATGAATAAGCTCCATATATTGATTTATGATTTTGCCTGTAACTTCTTTCTTGAAATTTACCCATTTCTTTAAAGACACTTGCTTGAAAGCCATCAGGAAGATGAGTCTGATGTGTGCACTGCCACATTCTCTGTGCCTGGTACCCTGCAAATAAATACCCTCCATTCTGCAGTGGCAAACCTCAGTGTGAATATTTGGCCGCTCTGTGAATATTGACCCACTGTATGAGTGGACTCACTTTGATTTGGTAACAAAAACCTATGGGGAATATAAAAAGCTCTAACATACACATTATTGGTGTTCCAGGAGACAAAAAGAAACAAGTAGGAAAAAATATTTTAGGAAGTAATGACCAAAAATTTCTCAAAGCCAGAGTTTTCATAAGCTCATGATCCTCATATAGGGTACATGCAAATAATACCACATATTTTCTCATAAGTATTAGACTGCTGAAAACCAAGGAAAAAGACAGACTCCTAAACCTGGCTGACAGAAATGTCAATGTTTGTTTAGGAAAAAAAGGCAATTTATCATTGGCTCTCTGTTAGAAAAGTTGGAGGCCAGAAGATTGTGAAATACTGTCTTAAAAGCTCTAAGAGAGAAAAAAAAATATATATATATATATACACACACACACACACGTATATTTATACACACACATACATATATATCAACCCAGAAATGTACACAGTGATAATATTTTTAAGAGTAAAAGCAAAATAAATACACTTCCAAATCAAAGAAGAGTAAAAGATTAGTCATAAGCAGAATTATGCTATAAAAAAGTAAAGATCTTCAGGCAGAAGGGAAATGGTGCCAGATAGAAAACCGCATATTTAGAATTGAATAAAAAAGAAGTCACTGGAAATGTGTAAATGGAAATGATAAATACTCAAGATGTGAGGAATCAACGAAGATTTTTTAGTGTAAGTCTGAATTATTTGTGAGCTTGTTATTGTTACTAATCTGTGAAATGTTCCAAGAAAATACAAAGAACATTTCAAAGGTATATATTATATAGCTATGATATTGTAAAATGTATATTTGTTCTTTTACCCTGTTTCTGACAATACAATTTTTAAAAATTCTTAGAATCTCCAAAGTGGTGTCTTTTTTTATGGTAATAAGTTGACTGACAGCTGGTAAGTCCTGGGCAGCTTCAGGATGGGGGTTGGTCATCTGAATGACCTAAGCAGGGTTAGAGAATTGGGACATTCAGCCTTCAAGGAGGGGAGAAGGGCTGCAGGCTTAATCTTAAACATGACTGAGAAAAATGTCATCATTTTAAAAAAACAAACTGTAATTGGCTTTTCATTAAAAAAAAATGAAGGCAAGAAAATAGTGAAATATGGTCTTATAAGTTCTCAAAAAGGAAAAAAAAAAGTACCCGCATGTTTATAGTTAATGGCCAATGAATTGATCATTGTCTACTGGTCATCAATCCTAAATGATTTAATCAATCATGCCTATGGAATGAAGACTTCATAAACCCCCCAAAAACTGGGTTTGGGGAGCTTCCAGATGGACAAAGGTGAAGGTGTTTGGAGATTGGTACGTGGAGAGGGCGTGGAAGCTCTGTGCCCCTTCCCATGCCTCACCCTACGTGTCTCTTCATCTGTATCCTTTGTTATATCCTTTATAATAAACCGGCCGGGCGCGGTGGCTCAAGCGCCTGTAATCCCAGCACTTTGGGAGGCCGAGGCGGGTGGATCATGAGGTCGAGAGATCGAGACCATCCTGGTCAGCGTGGTGAAACCCCGTCTCTACTAAAAATACAAAAAATTAGCTGGGCATGGTGGCATGTGCCTGTAATCCCAGCTACTCAGGAGGCTGAGGCAGGAGAATTGCTTGAACCCAGGAGGCGGAGGTTGCGGTGAGCCGAGATCGCGCCATTGCACTCCAGCCTGGGTAACAAGAGCGAAACTCCGTCTCAAAAAAAAAACAAAAACAAACAAAAAAAATAATAATAAACCAGTGAGTTTAAGTGTTTCCCTCGGTTGTGTGAAATACTTTAGCAAATCAATGGAACCGAAGGAGGGGTCATGGGAATCCTGATTTATAGAAGCTCAAGCAAAATAACCTGAGGCTTGCAATAGCCATTGGAAGCAAGGAGATTGTGGGACAGTCTGGGGGGACTAGGCCCTTAACCTGTGGGATCTAACACAATCTCAGCATAGACAGTGTTAGGATTGAATTGGAGGGCACTCACCTGGTGCCACTGCAGAATTGATAGGCTGCTTGCTAGTGAGGAAAGCTCTACATATATTTGGTCACAGAAGTCTTCTGTGTTGACTATTGTGGGGTGAGAGCACAGGAAAAACAATCTGAGTTTTTGCCACTCAGAAGCATTTTTTAAAAACCTATAAATTGAGTTGTAATGAAAAATAAAGCTAGGTTAATAATTTGGAACAAAAATCTCACTTGCACATAATATATTGATGGTGTCTTCCACACTTGAGAGAAGCCACTCACAGATCTATGAATTTAATCTACATTAGTAAGAGACTTAGACCTGATTCATTGCTAGGTCCTCAGCATCCACAGGTAAAAAGGTTAAAGAAAGACATTCTGAGAAACAAATGAGAGGCAGCTATCAGAACATGAGATGCTTTTGGGAAGAAGAAAGCACCATTGGTTACCATATCTGTAGGTTCTACAAGGCAAGGACACATCAGAAACTCAGGAAAAGGAGAGCTAGCTCTGATACCAATAACATCCAAACACAGGAAGTATAGCTGGTAGACGTTCAGAGACATTATAGTTCAAATTCTTGTTGTTAGCCAAGAAAACTAAGGCTCCAAAATGTTAAATGACACTCATATGTAAAAAAAAAAATAAAAAATAAAAAAAAGTTTTCATATCAGAATGAAAGGCAAGAACCCAGACAAAAAGAACTGAAGTTGGTGATTTATTGATTATTGTAGGTCATATAAAAGATATCAATAATTTATTTATCTAGAAGAAAACAATGGTCTAGTAGCAACATACTACCATTTAGCTTATGCAAATTCTATAATACGCACTCTGCTTGTTGTTTCCATCTCTTTCTCTTAAAAAATAAAGATACAATGGGCTGTACACTCACCTGTGTACTATATACTATCATGAACATTCTGTGTGAGCACATATTATATATACATTACTCTTTATAGAGAGAGATCTAGATAAGGTATAGATCTTCTACACTGAAAGAAAAATGAATTTTGTCTTAGTAGAGCCACTTTACCTTGTGTCTCCTTTTTGCAGCTGCTTGTCTGTAACCTAACTAATAGAGAAGTTGTAACCAGGAAGTAGGGCACTGCCATAACAAAAATATAAAAATGTTTGGGATTTTCTAAATGGTTTAGTGGTGAGTGGCAAAAACACAGATATCACATCTTGGGAAGCTAGTGTCAAACTACTTGGTTACAACTTTTAGGCAGACCGTAAGTTTTTAAGGACAACCAGGAATACAATTGTTTGAAACACTCAAAATGATTTGGTATGTTGAATGCTCCATGCTGCTTCTAGCAAAGTCTTAAAACGGGGAAAGCCTGAGAAAGAACATGCAGGCAAAATGGAATGAAGTTGAGCTCTGGGGATTAATACCTTAGCGGGGAGAGATCCAAGATGGCTGATTAGGAGCAGCTCAGGATTGCAGCTCCCAGTGAAAGCATGGAGGGTGAGTAGATGCTGCATTTCCAGATGGATTTTTATTGCCCACAGACCAGGAGATTCCCTGGCAGAGGAGCCCCATAGGTCACCAGCATGGTTGTTTTGGCCAGCACAGCTGTTTTGGCCAGTGCCCCAGTGCTGTGGTTCTCCACACAAAATACACACACGTCCAGGCACTATTTTAGCTGGTGATTGGATCTCCTGGGATAGAGAGTCACCCATTCAACTGATAAAAAAGGAGGGGGACTGAGGGGGACTGAAACAGGGAGCCAGGCCAGGAGATTCCCCAGCACAAAAGCACCATGAATCTTAGCACAGCTGTTTCAGCTGGTGCAGTGGGTCGCTACACAGGGAATCACACAGATCCTGGCACCCTTTCAACAGGTGACTGGAACACTGGAAGACAGCATCACCCATTCAACTAGAAGAAAAAAAAGGGCTCCAAGGCAGGGAGCCAGGTGATCAGGCTTGGCTGGTCCCACCTCTACAAAAAAACACCAATCTGAAATGCTCTGGATTGAGAATTTCACAGCAAGCACAGCTGAACCCAGGATGGTCCAGCTCTTTGGGGGAGGGGTGTCCGCCATTATCGGGGCAGTCCACCACTATTGAGGTAGTCTCCCATTGCTGAGGCAGCCCGCCATTACAGAGAGAGTCCGCCATTATAGAGGTGGCTGCCATTGCCGAGGCAGTTCTAACTATACCCATATAAACAGGACTGCAGGGAAGTTCACACAGCAGCTGGGCGGAGCCCACAGCTGCTCAGCAAAGCATCTGCAGACAGGCAGTGACTAGGCTTCCTCCTGGTTGTGCAAGGCAGCCCTGAAAAAAGGCAGCAGCACAACAGAAACTCATAAATAAAGCCCTAAATCCGTGGGACAGAGTGCCTGGGGGAAAAAAGGGGGTGGGGGGAGTTATGAGTTCTACTGCAGCAGACTTAAACGTACCTGCCCAGCAGCTCCAAATGAAAAACGGAGCTCACAGCTCAGCACATGAGCTCCTATAAAGGAAAGATTGTCTCCTCAAGCAGACCCTCGTATATCCAAAGAGTCATCTCATAAAGGAGAGCTCAGACTGACATCTGGAGGGTATCCTGGGACAAAGATAGAAGAAGAAACTGGCAGCAACCCTTACTGTTCTGCAGCAGCTGTAGGTGATCCCCAGGCAAGCAGGGCCTGGAGTGGACCTCGGCAGTCCTACAGCAGAGGGGTCTGACTGTTAGAAGGAAAACTAAAAGAGAAATAACTTCATCATCAACCAACTAGACATCCACTCAGAGACCCAATCTGAAAGTCAACAACTACAAAGACAACAGGTGGATAAATCCACAAAGATGGGAAGAAACCAGAGCAAAAAAGATGAAAACACCAGAAACCAGAACACCTCTCCTCCTACAAGGGATCACAACTCCTCACCAGCAAGGGAACAAGGCTGGATGGAGAATGAGTGTGATGAATTGACAGAATCAGGCTTCAGAAGGTGAGTAATAAGAAACACACTGCCATATGTGTACCTATGCAACAATTTGGCATGTTCTTCACATGTACCCCAAAACCTAAAATGCAAAAAAAAAAAAAAAAAAAAAAAATCTGAAACTTCATAGTGATTGTTTTAGTATTTTTAAAATTGATTCATTTTATTTTTAGAGTAGATTTAGGATTACAAAAATGAGCATAAAATGCAGAGTTCCCATAAAACCCCTTACATTCCTGTCATACAATTTTCCCTATTATCTTGGGTTAGTATGGTACATTTGTAACAATTACTGAACCAATATATATACACATTATTAATTGTAGTATACGACTTATATTAGGAGTCACTGTGTGTTGTGCAGTTCTGTGGATTTTGGTACATGCATAAAGTCATGTTTTCACCATTACGGTATCATGCAGGATAATTTTACCATCTTAATATTCACTGCGCTTCTTCTGTTCATCCCTCTCTCCTTACCCCAGACCTCTGGCAACCACTATCTT